ATAATAAGCTATGAAGTGTATCTAAAAATGGTTAACAATTAAAAAATTAATTAAAAAAAAATTGTTTCGTATAAATTTTTATCAAGCATCACTCATATAAAGTAAATGATGTATAAAAAAACCTGATTATTAGAAATTACTAAAACAAGAACACAGTTTGAATTAAAAAAAAGAGATTTAGATCTTTTTTACATGTAATTTATGCATTTATGTCTCACTGCTTCATACAATTTAAGCTTTTTAAAATAATTTAGATATGTTTTGACATTAGACACTGAACAAACCATCCAAATGTAATGCATAAGTAGAAAAATTAACTTTTATAGTATAACAATTTATTTTTATGTAAAGTATTGAATGATAATGCAAATTTTAAATTAAATTGAAAACAATACTAGTATGAATGTAAATAATTAATTTTTTTGAGATGATTTTCTATTTTCACTACTGATTTCTAAATCAGTTTTCAATATTTAATAAATAGGCACAATAAAACTTCATTGCAAAAAGAAGTTTAATTAGTTGAACAACTTTTCAAAGAATAGTTAAACTTTTTGCAAAAAATTCGTTACACTGCAATTGCTCTCTACTACTAACCTATGCAACTAAAACATTTTATTTTACAAAAATCTCAGTAACTTTAAAAGCCATAATTGTTGAAAAAAATAATATGAAAGTAGTGGATATTTCAGTTCATTATTAGTTTTTAGCTAAATATTATCCATGAAATAATTTTAATTAGCTTCTGGATAATTCTGTATTTGTGAAAAAAATCACTTAAGACCATAATAACATACAATTTATGTATAATAGAAGTTTTTAAAAAAATAGTTATTACAAAAATGATTAAAATAAAAAAAACATAGCAGGATCTTCAACAACTTATTATACGCTACTATTCTAATAAACCAATATTGTCTACATTTCTTAAGTACTCTAAACAGATCCATGCAAACAAATGTAATATCATTTAAGTTAATTTTATTATGTAAAAATTATCAGAAGAGAAATTTAAATTATGCATAATTAAGATTAACACTAAATGATCAAATGTGATACAACAGTGCACGGTATCAGATATTAACTGCTGATAAATATATTTTTACTACAACAACATTAATCACAAAATAATAATTCTAAGTCACACATAACAATAATATGAAAGAAACATAAAGGAAAATTTTGAATAATATCAAATATTTTAATAAATAAGAGTTAAAAACAAAAAAGTTTTTCCTTATAATCCAATAGATTCTACAAAGAAATTTTATTTCTCTTAAAGGTTTAAGGAATAAATTCAAAGAGAGATGAGTGTCTTTTTTTCAAAATATTTTGTCATTTAAATGCATGATATTAATCTTTTAACACTTATTAGGTAATAATATGAACTGTAAAAGTATTAATTTAATATTTCTTTAAAAAAATGAGTGGAATAAACAAAACAATTTTAGGTTGATGTCTTTACTATTCTTTCCAGTTATGTTTTAGTACTTGGCAATCTAAACTTACATTACGAACATGTGGACAGTAAAAAGAATAGAGACAAAAATGTTTTTCTTTTCTACAGTCTTTTTTGAATCTATTCTAGAAAGATGTGACCAATAACTTATTTTATTTTAATAGATTACACACAGACGGATATATTTTTTCATAGCATTCAATAGCAAAATCAACATTTTGAAACTGAAAATTTTTCTGTCGGTAAAAAAAAAAAATCATGAGCTAAATACATCCATGAGGAACAATGTGAATAACATTGCACCACTTTTGTGGTGCAATGTTATATCACAGGTGGTCAGAAGAAATAAATCTGCAATCATAAAATAAATATAGAATCAACATGTTAATAATAATAAGCAACAAGTTATATCAGTTTAATGATGATTAAAAAGTGGATGCTTTAAACATGCTTTTCATTCCATAATTTAAATCAACACATTCCACAAATTGTCATAACAATTAAAATTAATTGTTAGTCATTAAATCCGCTTTTAGAAATAAGAGTTTCAAAAATTTCCAAACTTTATTCCATGCAGAAAAATAATTTTATCCCCCAATCCTAGCTACATTTTGCAAAGAAAACATATTATACATGAAATCCAAATGATGTTAAACTTAATCTCATTTATGCAGAGTAAAACATTTAAAAACTAAACCAAGTTAATTGCAATTTATATTTTATTCTTAAATAAATCACATAAATTTTAAAAAAATTAACAATATAATCACAAGTTTGAAAAAAAAAGCAGCAATATAAATTGAATACAAGTTGAACTTTTCTAAGCAAGCATAATATTTCTACATTCTAAATTACTCTATTAAGGAAAAAGAAATACTTATGAAATATAAGAGCCTAAAAATGTAAAAGATTTTAACTGGAAATGGAACTGATAAGAAAGTAGCCAGAATTTTTCTGCAATTCATTAAGTTTAAAATGTTTCTTTTTACAAAATGATGATCAAAATAAATTAAATATCAGATTAAAAAAATAAATTAAACATAACATTAAAAAAAATCATACTTTTAATTAAGTTTATTGTTATTTATCTAGATCATAAAATGGTAAAATAATGTCCATCATTGTTTATCAAAGATTTCTAAATCACAAAAATGGATTGTGTAAGAAAGAAAAATAATTTTTCAGGATGATTATAAAGCTAACATAAATGTTTCAGGTTTAACTGAAGCATGGCATCAGCTTTTATATAAATTTAGATTTTTAAAAACAATCTTGCAAATCAAAGTACTTACTAAAATTTACTTAACATGTTAGCTTTACCATACTAACAAAGTATAAATCTAAAGAACTACAAAATTATCAAAGTTCTAATAGGCTAAATAGTTTTTTTCTTCTTCTCTTAAAATTTAAACTAGAGATGTATCCACAAAAAAAAGGCGCAGTACAACTAAAACTTTTCTAAAAAAAATTGTTTCTTTAAAAGTACTTAGAACTTAACAGAATAATGGAAAAATTGTTTATTTTTTGAGCACGTATAATCGATTAATGTGCCACAGTAGAAAAGAATACAATATAAAGAAACTAAGCTGCTAAATGAAAAAACAAATGTATAAGCATTATCAACAATAATAATTTTGGAATACATTTATTGGTGTTGATAATTTTTTTAAAGAAAAAAAAAACATTATTTTGAAAATGTTGTGTAGTATAACTTTAATTCCTAAACTTAAATTAGGTAAGTTCATTATTTTATCAGATTTCAAATGAAAATAATAACATGAAATTATTATAAAAGAAAAAAGTATTTTTGTTTTTACCCAAAATGTTCTTTATTCATCCAAAAACTAATTTATTAAAAAAAAGTGCTTTCTCGATAAGTTTAATTCTTAACACTAGGTAAGGATACCACAACAAAATTTAAGTTTGAAATAACTCTAAATAAAACTTATTATACATTTGATTTTTAAATATAAATCAGTTAATCTAAATTTCAGAAGTAAATTTGTTTCGAGCACTTATGCAACAATAATAGCTTAGGTACTTATTAGCACAGTCGATTTAGATATTGCTCACTCAGCTAATGGAAAATTAGAGGCATAAATGGAAATTATGAGATTACTAGTAACTAAAAGACTAGAAAAGTAACTAAGTTTGGAGAAATTTTATTAAATCTTTTCAATCTACATAGCCATTAATCTGTCTATTAACCCTGTAATGGTTGCATAATTTTGAAAACAATCATATAAGTGCCAAATTTTTTTTATTCAAGAAAATTATATAAAACGAAGTGCATTTACAATTTGTATTCATTCTTAATTTATGGTTTAATCGCAAATCTACATGTTCGATGCATGTTGATATCTAGTTTAAAATAAACTTTCTCGAAACGCATTACAAATAGTCTAGTTTTGCTATCTGGATCATAGAGAAATCAACATGTTTACGGGCATAAGCAACAGATTGTTTCAATCCTTTTGTACTTTTGAACACTTCAGCCTAGAAATATCACAATAAAATTTTAGAGGGCAAAATTTCGTCCCGTCATTTTTGCGGGAACGAGAAAGAGTAAATTGTAATCAATTGCAAGTAAAACTGATTTTAAAAACTACTTGTTTCAGTTTACCGTGATCAGACATGTGACTGGACAATATAAAAAGCTTTGATGGCAGAGTGTAGACACGTAAAAGGATAAACAATAACACATAATACTATAAAATAATTTTTCTACCATGTGAAAGAAATTAAAGCTTTTTTTACATATAAATATTAAATAATAAGTGTCAATCAAAAACAAGTTTCTTTGTATCTTATTTCTTAAACCTGTATAAGTTCATTTCATTGAAAAATACTGAAGGGGGCACTAGTTCTAAGAAGGAAAAAGAAGCAATGCTTTTCAATTAAAAATAACACTTATATATGCCTAATAATACAATATAAACTTAATAATAATATTTAACTTCATTTTGAGCCATCTACTCTTTCCCCCCTGTTACTGTAATTCAGTAATTTTTACTAAAGCAGTTTTGATTAAAAACAGCTGCTTTTTCTTATATTTAAGAAAAAATTATCAAGCCCAGATTTTTTCTTTTTCATTCTTTAATTTTCTAAACAAATATTTAAAAGGTTTTTCTACCGTAGTTGAAGAAAAATGTATTTTGTATAAAAACTTGCTTAAAGTCTATCTTATCAGAAGATTAAAATATTTTTTGTGAGATGAGAACTATCTTATAATAATTGGGAAGGAGTTATGCCCTATCTTTACTTTAAACGTTAGAGGAGATAAAATATCCATTTTTTTCAGTTTCAATCATTTGAGCTAATTTTTGAAGCCAAATATTGCTACATAACTCCTTGTAACCTAGATATGGTTTGAGGTTAAACGAGGGGAGTTGGTTTATGAGATAGTCCTGTACATGACCATGATCCATAGATGGCACTCATTTTCATAGCCACTAGCATAAAGTACGCTATCACCTTCCTCGACCACATTGAAGAAAAATCTCCCACCTTTAAGATCTGAAATTGGAAGTAGCATTAAACAAAACAGGAAAAGAGATTTTATTCAAACAAAAGTAGATTCTTGTTCAGAGATGCCATCTTTTTTTGCACTAACGGAAGTTGCTCTAAATATTCAATTTGCTAAATTCTTTTTCATTAATTTCAATAAGAATCTTGGATACAAAATCTGGGTGTACAAAAGGCGTTAAAATACATAGACATTTAAGATAGATAAATTATAACACTGATAACCCGATGAATTTTTAATGTATTTCCTCAGTCTGTGTAATTAAAACCCTTATGGAATAACTTTTATTGTAAGATTTACAGTCAAATTATTCTGTTTTTTAAATACATTTTTCCTCATGAATTTCACACATAATTTTTCTTTGCAGATTGTTGTTAGTTTTTTTACCATAGATTCATTTTCTTAGGCTAGACTACATGTATATTTCAATAGAATAGCTCTTTAACATAACAGAGGATAAAAAAGAAATCAATTTTAGAAAAACCCACTTTAGGGTGGGTTTTACTGGGCTTTTCAGAGTGGGTTTTACCCAGTAAAACTTGACCGGGTTTCTCTGAGCAGGTGGGTTTTTTGCAACCCTGAATAAGATTAATAAAAATATTACAGCAACAGATTTTCTTCAGATAACAGTAACAGATTTCAGAAGACACTTTTAATTAAATGAAAAGGAAGCAAAACTAGTTAGAACACCATTAACTATGATTAATTTTTGAAAACCACTATCACATTAATGAAGATTAATTTTATTATGAAACATCTTTTACTGGTGATTCATCTCAGATCCTAGAGACAAAAACAATCTGAACAATAAATTAGTTCATTTCATACTGAACAAATCCCAAAACAAATTGCACTCCACAAAATGACAAGATTTATACCAAAGGTTGGGAAAGCAAGGTTGGTAGGACACTGGGCCCATGTCCAAGAGGTCATGGGTTTGATCTCCGCAAACCGAAGACTCCCCACGTAGTAAATGGTGACTGATGCACACTAAATCTGTCAAGTTACAAAGTCCTCCATGTTCCCATAAATCATACCTCTGGGGAAACTTATTTATGTGTTTTCTTGTCTTCTGGATTGGTTCAAAATTACAAGGCTACGGAGTTGAATATTAGTAGTAGTCATGAACCCAAAAACTTGGGTAGTCTGTTCAACGACTGTTAAAAATAAAAAATACAATTTTTACCCATCTTAGTTTAAATCAAATTTCATAATACACAAAACTAATACCTATTTTTTTAATCATAAAATGGGCATATTCCATATCAAAAGTAAGTAAAAAATTCAATATAATTTATATATAGGACATTTGTTACAAATAAAATGTTTAAAAAAAATACAGTCTGAATAACCCCATGCCTTCTGGCCCAAAACAATTTTGTTTTATACTAGAGTGCATATTTGTTAAGCTACACTATAACCACACTCCACTGTGTGTGCAGTTCAGCACTGATTATTCATTAAACTATAAATTCAAAATAGACCAAAATAAGAAAAATCCATCAAGAATTATTTTAAGTTGAGTTTTAATAGCTAAAGCTTAAAATTCTGCCATTTGTTGAATTGACTTGTTAGTTGTTTCAGATTAGTTGTTTAGTGTAATAATCATGTTATATGTTTTTTTTTTCTTTTCAGTTAAAGGTCTATTAAATTGGTTGGACAAATTATTTAGAATAATTCGTAAAGATATAAAGGTTTAGTTATTGGAGTTTATGCTTATAAATTAAACAGAAACTATAAAACTAAGTAAATAAAGTAAAAAAATAGAAAATTTATTACCAAGTACTGGCTCAACATAATCTACAGTATATCCTGCATCATTTCTGTAGGTTCCAATTTCTTTTCTTTGTAACTGCACATTGCAAAAGTACACTGTGAATAGCTTGTAATATTAAAAGATAATATTAAAGAAAGGCACATGCATAAGTTAAATAAATTGAAAAAAGATTATAGCAAAACAAGATATTTTGCATGATATTTTTTTAGCAAACATCTACATTTTTATTGAATTGATACTGATGCTAATATAACATTGGAATAAAACATGGCTGTAAATAATATACTATATAGCAAGAATTTGATATTACTCTATTACTTTGGGAAAAAAAAATACAAGTTTGAACACAGCATACACAAAAAAATGCAAGTTATTATATTAATAATAAAAGCTAATAGATGTTTTTTGTTTTAGTTTTTATTTTGTTTTTCAAAACTCACATTTGAAATATTTTGCAACTAAATACTAATCACCTAAATTATTCATAAATTGAAAAGCAAATAATTAGACAATAGTAAATTCTTCAAAATCTGAAACAGTCTACTATTTTCAAACCAGAATAGTTAAAAAAATGAGTTTAATGTAATTTTCTTAATGATATATGACAATGTTGGTGATATTTAGACAACATTTCTATCTAATTGACAAAATTAGCCAGTAAGTGATCAGTCTACAGTTTGTTTTCAAATGGTGAAGTACCATTTCGCAAGTGCAATGTTTTTTAAAATTTGCTTGCTTATTAAAAAGTATCTAATGCCTACTAAATAAGTAAACAATGAGCAACAAAGTTGTTAAAAATCACTATTTTCATAAAATAAAAATTTGTTTAAAAAACAGATTCTCATAATTTATACGTTACTGCTATAATAAAATAGGAAAAATAGCAGAAAATTTCCAAACTTTTATGTTTCAATAATTTTTTACAACTGATTAGTCATGGATCAGTGAGCATCTTAAGACATTTTAATAAACAACAAAAACACCTACCGGAACCAGCAAAAAATATCTTATTTTCCATTTTTTCCTAACTTGCTTTCCTTGTGCAAATAAATACCTGTGAAATAATTTTCAAAATAATTTTCATTAAAACATAAAGCACTTATTTCTGAAAAAAAAATTAAATTAAGTATGAATATGAATTGCAATAAAAATAAAACCAATGAGTAACTTTTTTCAAATTCTTATCCTCTGCTGAAAACAAAAGCTTAGTAATTTAAAAATTCTTAAACATTCTTTAAGTCATCCGAAATTTATTTTTCATTTTAATTTTTGCATCAATAGATAAACTTGAAACCACATAAGTATAAAATCCATTATTCAATATTAAGTATTTACCAGAATTTTTGGTGATCAATGTACTAAATTAAAAGTCTTAGGAGGACGCCATACCCAGATAAAAAAAAAACCGAATTGGCAAAATCAGTTGTAAGTCTCACACTTTGGGGGCGTCTCTTTGAGGGAGAAGTGAATTGGTACAGTGACATTGATATATGATAGATGGTCAGTTAAACTATCCCATCCTTCCCTAAGCAAAACTGAACAATATAAGCATTAGTTTCGAAAAGTGATTCTGG